GCTCACACTGAGCCTGGTTCTGCTGGAGGTTTCTTCCTGTTCAGTGGGAGTTTTTCCTCTCCACTGTCGCTACAAGCATGCTTAGTGTGAGGGATTGCTGAAGATTCAATGAGTCGATGCAAACAACTAGTTTTCCTTAGATAGAAAACCTGACTGGATGATCTGGTGAACTATAAAGTGCCTTGAGATGAAGTGATGTGAATTGGAGGTTTAGAAAAAAACTGCATTGAAAATGTTACCTGATGACATTATCATGTTAACTTGATTTTCTCTCTGGATTTTTCTTTTTAATATTTTAATATTATTTTTCTTATTTTGAAATACCTCCTCTGAAATGCTTCAAGTATTTTCTATTACAGACAGTCTTCATTCTGCAAATACATAAAAGTAATAATACGGAATATTTCTACATTAATATCTGGATCTGCTGATGCTGGTTTTGTTGTATCTTTATGTTAACATGAACATGAACTGCAGGGAAAACCTCCATATAGTGATGGGGACAATGGGACATGACGCTTCATGAACCGTTTGGCCAAATTCCTTCAATGATCCCCAAAGTTCATGATGCTTAATGTGAAAATGTCACCATCTACTGGTAGAGTGCAGAACTACAGTTAGTGATATAATCTATGATATTTTGCAATTGTTTTTCTTCTTTTTTTTTCTTCCAAGTTTAAGTTCCATTGAAATTGTTAATGTTTGGTGTGTATAATAAAATCTTTTGTAATTGTTTTGTGTGTAAAAAGAGAACAATAATTTAAGGTTCACTGTTTTTCTACCATTTTAGTGAAATAAGCTGAAGCAGACAGTGAAAGTGTTTGTGCAAATTGGGCAATGGTGAGTAAAATGAAAGGTTTTAGTCATTTTTATTCAAACATAATAGTTTTTCCACAGTTGTTGCCTATGTGTACAGCTCAAGTGTCTGACAAATGGTGAGGAATTAATGCAAATCTGCCAGACAGCTTCTCAGCTTTTTGGCCCAGAAGGATCTGCTACAGACTGAGGCGACAAAGTTACTCCAACTGGTGCTCACTGCACCGCCGGCCACAACAGTTTTTGTTTTGTTTTGATTCTTGTCAGCAAAGGGTTTAATAATATTATTCATGTCTTTCATTTAATAGTTACAGAGTTACAGATTAGTTGAAATGATTTTTATCCCCATAAGTTTCATTGCTTTTCCATCCACTATTAATAGTTTTGAATAAATAGTATTGTAAGTTCTTTTACTCATCTGTCCGCACTTAAAAACTGAATTAACGTGGAGAGACACAAGTAACATTTCCTTATCTTTCCTTTTTCTCTTTAGATTTAACAAAAAAAAAATGGGGTTGATAATATTCAACAAAGAAAATAAAACACTTATCACTTTACACTATAAAATGCCACATCTAAAGTTCAAATATATTTTTGTTTATTATTTAAAACAAATCTGGTTCAGACATGATTTTTTTTTTCCTAAATCAGAGATTTACAACTAAATGTGTCACATTTCAAGCAATTAGTCATTTTAAAAGGTAAAGTGAAATTAAATTTTAAATTAAAGATTTTTCAAAGTCACTACTTTTTAAGCTGCTTCGCTTGATAAAGTCCTTGTTGATGATCGTCTGTCTTCTGCATGTCTGAAGCTCAGCGAGTCACACAGCAGTTTTAAGTATTTTGAAAAGCTTCAGATCCCAATACTTCAAACTATGGCTCCTTTTCTTAGCAGAATCCTTTGCTTTTCCCACGGTGAACAGTTAAAACACTCAATGACCTAACAGGGGATTCATTGTTAAATATTTCAAACATAGATAAACAGAAGAAAATATATATATATATTAAAAAAAAACTGAATATGAAGAATATCTGCGCATTTTTATTCTTGAAGTAATCATCAAATATTAGTCAGTACTGAATATCAATTTCAATACTTGCTTTGATTCTTGAATAATCAAAGTGGAGAGGCTAAATGCTCAAAATGAAAAACAAAACAAAGGTGAAACTAAGCTGTTATGTATTATTGGCCTACATTTGAAATAATCAAATGTTTAAAATGCATGTTGGGGGTTTAAGAAAAAATACGAGCCAATTACTTTTATTAATGTACTACCGGCAAGAATTTACAACTAATTATTATACTTTTGACTGTCAGATTTGGTGGAGGTTGGTTGAAGACCCAAATGCAGAGATGAGTTTTGGTGATTTAATTAAAAAAAAATCTAGAGGCAAACGGGCAAAAATCCAAAATACTGAGAACCAAAAAAACAGTAGACGTCAGGGGAGAACAAACATGAGGAGCCAAATAATAAGAGAGCAAGAAAACAAACCAGCAATGAAGAACTGCAGAGGTGGTGTATATATGGGGAACAGAACAAAGAATGGGCTAATGAGCTGATATGGAGCAGGTGTGAATAGAACTAACTTGAAGGGAGCCAAGGGGAATGAAAACAGTCACAAGGGGGCAACAGAGAGTAACTCAAAAACACAACACTGCCAGAATGATGGATGATGTGTGTGAGAATGTACTATTCTTATTTATTAGTTGTTTTGTATCAGTTATTGTTATTTATTTCTTATATTATGTGTAAATGGCGGTGAAAGTGATTTTTGTTTTTAAGCATATGCACTGATCTATGGCACTCTTTTAAATTTCATTGTTCTTGTGACAATGACAATAAAGATAAATTGAATTGAAAATATTGAGCTAGATCAGTCTCAATTTTCACAAATACACATAGGTGATTCATACATGCACCGGAAAATATCCACACATGCACAGCACCATTCACACAAGCACACAAAAACAATCCAAACAAACAGTAGAAGATCCACACATAGACAGTATTTCTGGGGTAAGTCATCCCACGTGGAGTAGTTTCTTGTGATTGGCTTATACCACGGAGAAAAATGCATTTTTGTACCAAAACACGTCAGGAGAGTCTAAAAAATCCACACACAAATGCAATGAAGTTTAAAGACCACTGGTACTTTGCAATTTAATTTACAATTGTTTATGGACCGGAAATACTTTGGTGAAACTTGTTCTGTGTGTATGTGGATCTTATACTTTTTGTGTGTGGATTTTTTTTTTTGTGCTTGCGTGAATTCTGTTTGTGTGGATCTTATCCTGTGCATGTCTGAATCACCAATGTGTATTTGAGAAAATTGAGACAGATTTAGCTCCATATAGAAAATACCTACAAAGACACAGGATTACAAAAAACTAAAATTAAACCTAAACAGAGGGCAGAACCCTGACAATCGACCACATGAGGGCGCCACAGCTGTAACATTTCAAGAAGCTTGACTGAGATGATCCATCACAGCACGTTTTTCTACCTTTAGAAAGGATTAAAAAATGAAATGATTTCATAAATACAGTTTGTTTCTGTTCAACTATAGATTCCATCTAGCATCGCTTATTTTGTAGCCTTGACACTAAGTTTTGAATGAATTAATTAACATTTATGAATGAGTTATAAAGTGTTCAAAATACTTATTTCCCATCTATTGGAAGAGCCTTATTATAAATTGTTACCATTTTAGTTTTAAAGGGCCTTAATCTAGAATTTTACAAAAGGTTTTTATTGTAATAAAATTGCTTTTATTCTAGTTTTGTCTGACTTTAAGGGTGGAACACTTTTTTTTAAATTGAAGTCATTATAATTACACAGTGAATTTCAGGAGTACAGCAGCTGAAACCCTTAAGATAAATCTGACTTTGGATCTGGATTGTCGTCCATCTTGGGTTTCATTTCCTTCCTGATGGTTTTCTCTCTCTTTGTGCGCTTCTTATGCAAGCCAGCAGATCTCAGTAAGTCAGCACATATGAAGCTCAGCTTAATTAAAAGCTAATCTCAGTTATTCTGTTCGCTTCCAGACCTGGAGGGACTCCACTGGTAAGATAATTCCTCCTGCTTCTCAATGATTATTAAGGAAAAACTGAATGATTTC